ACATATATATATATATATATTTATCTATCTATCTATCTATCTATCTATCTATCTATCTATCTATCTATCTATCTATCTATCTCTCTATATATATATATGTATATATATGTATATATGTATATGAGGGGTAGCAGGGGCAATTTGTCCCCAGGGAGTTCTGCGTCCTTGCCCCTAACTAGCAGTTGGGGTCGGGCTGGCAATCCGGCCCCGTAAAAACCTTTTACCAGCAGGCAAACCAGAAAGAAGAGAAGGGATCGGAGCTATCCTGGAGGAGGTAACTCCGACCCCGATTTGCGGCCGGGGGTTCCTGATCCCTGGCTCGGCGTCCTGACCAGGGGCTTACCTGATCAGGACGACGAGCCTGTTATGACGGGTGCAGGGCAAAGCCCTCCCAGGGAATACTGCACCCTGAGGTTACGTGGTGGGGGGGATGGCCCCCCCCCCCGGCCCCTACTCTTCCTCCTGAGGAGGCATGCGTGGTTGTGCCGAGGCGCCGCCCGGCCGGAGCCCCACAAATGGGGTTAATCTGCGGCGAGCGTGCCGTGTTGCGGCCTGGAACATCCTCAGTCTCTCGGAGGATGATCGACTGCCTTTGTTGTCGGGGGAGCTGGGGAGGCTGGGGATTGCCATCGCTGCTCTCTCTAAGGTGCGACGGCCTTAGGGGAGTCGCGGTGGCTGTCTCTGACCACTTCCGTCCCTCAGTCAAGAAGGTTACCCTTGTTGACAAGCGCATTCTGCTTATGAGAATGAAGCCACTTTGGGCTTCATATCTCTAGTGACAGATTACGCTCCTACTGAGGGAAATGGGCTTGAAGAGAAAGAGATGTTCTATGCCAAACTTTAGGAATGCTGAGTTCTTTGCTACCAACCACAGACTTGTTGTTGCAACACTAAGGCTCCGCCTCAGATCTAAACGCATCCTGAGATCTCACCAGCAGGTGTTTCATCTCAAGAGGCTCAAGAGTGAGGAGGTGGCTCAGAAGTATGCAGTGGCAGTCTCAAATCGGTTTGAAGTGCTGGGTACTCTATAGGACCCTGCTGAACTGTGGGATACCTTTAAGCGAGAAATTCTGTCAGTTGCCGAGGAGTGCCTTGGGGTCCAACCTCGGACGAGACACAGAACACTATAGAGATGAGTCGTGCTGCCAGACTGGATGGGAAGCATGTCTTGCACAGGGAGCTGTCTCGCTCAGTGAGGCACCACCTTCCATCGAAGAGGTGAGAAGGGAGGTCTCTAAGCTGAAGAGTGGAAAGGCTGCTGGTGTCTGTGGGATTGCTGCAGAATTGTTGAAGGCGGGTGGAGAAGCCATGATCTGTGGTTTGCATGCAGTCCTGTCTGCCGTTTGGGAGACTGGTACCATTCCCCCTGACTGGAAAAGGGGCTTGGTCATCCCTATCTGGAAAGGGAAAGGGGACCAATGGGACTGTGGCAACTACAGAGGTATTACATTGCTCAGTGTACCAGGCAAGGTCCTCGCTCATCTGCTTCTAGCACGAGTGCGCGACCACCTATTACGAGCACAGAGATCTGAGCAGTCTGGTTTTACACCCAAGAAGTCAACTATAGACCGTGTCTTAGCACTTTGTGTCCTTGTGGAACGCCGACTTGAGTTTCAACAAGGTATGCTTGCAGCTTATGTTGATCTCAAGAAGGCTTACGACTCAGTGCACCGGGAGAGTCTCTGGAGCCTACTGGGTCTCCGTGGGATCCCCCCTGGGATTACCGGTTTGCTGTCTGGCCTGTATACAGATACTGAGAGTGCTGTCAAGTGTGGGGAGGGCATCTCTGCCTTTTTCTCGGTGTCTGCCGGGGTGAGACAGTTCCTGTGGGGCATCAGTTGGTAATTTCAAGGCCACAGACCTTGACTTTGCCGATGATGCAGTGATTCTAGCAGAGACATTGGAGGTCCTGGAAGTAGCTCTCGAGGCGCTGCATGAGGAGGCGAAGCCGTTGGGACTCGCGGTCAACTGGACCAAGACCAAGGTTCAGGAATTTGGGGACTTATTGGATGTCGATGTTAGTCTGTACATGCCTGTGGTCTTGGATAACTTCACTTATCTTGATAGTGTAGTGCAGAGCGACGGAGGTTCCGACCGGGAAGTCACTCGACGACTCGGACTGGCCTACGACGTTATGGACTTACTCAATAGGAGTATTTGGCGCTGTCGGCATTTGACTAGGAGAACTAAGATCAAGCTCTTCAGACCACTGGTGATCCCAGTCTTACTCTATGGGTGTGAGACCTGGACACTGAACAGTGCTCTGAAGGCCCGTCTTAACTCCTTCGGTACTAAGTGTCTTTGCAGAATCATGGGGTATACCTGGAGGGACCATGTGTCCAATCAGAGGATACTCCATGAGACTGATTCAAGACCTATTACCAGTCTGATACGAGAGCGCCAACTTCAGCTCTATGGGCATGTGGCTCGTTTCCCTGAGGAAGATCCAGCTTATAGGGTCATCTCCGAGAGGGTTGACCCAGGCTGGAGAAGACCAAGGGGAAGGCCACGGAACTCATGGCTGAAGCAAGTCGATCAGATCTGCCAAGATGTGCTGGCGGTGGGAAGGAATGCTGCATGGAGGCTCGCTCGGAGGGACCCCAGGAGGTGGAGGCAAAGGTTGGGCGCGGCAAAGCGCAGCCATGCGTATGCCCCCTTATGATGATGATGGTATATATATGTATATATATATGTATATATATATATATATATATATATATATATATATATATATATATATAATTTATATTTATATATATATTCATATATATATGTGTGTGTGTGTGTGTATGCACACACTCTGCTAATAAATATTACTCATAACCTTGATCACTTCCTTCATAGGCCTAATATCATTTTTTTTTCTCGTATTTTACTTTACACTTTCCCTTTTACCTTAAGCAAAATCTCCCCACAATCGAACCGCCCACTGAGTCCAGCCTCTTCTCTCTCGCAGACTTGAGTAACAGGGAAACCATCAACGAAGTGTGCAATGGCCACCGCATGGGGAAAGCTAAAGAGTGCCCCATTAATCTCTACCAAGTCATGTGCAGATGTTGGTATGAAGATCCGGGCGAAAGACCTTCTTTTGCTGAACTTAAGCCTGATATGGAATACCTCGTGTCCTTACCTTGAACTCTGTAATGTCATCCGTGTGTGTGGTTGGTTTACGTGTTTTTTTTTTTTTATTAATTTATTATTATTATTTTTTGGTCTTCCAGGGTATGCGGATAGTTTACCCTTGTATCATATAATTTTAAATATATGTGAGGAAGGAAGTACATGTATGCTGAAGCAAGAAAAAAGAAAGTTTAAAAATGGTAATATAACCGTTTGTTCTAATTCCTTCTACAACTGCAATATTCATATGTAAAGACCAATTTCTAAAACTGTTATAATGTGATGCTCATTTTCTCCTTGAATTAAAATCGTGAATCACACTTACAACTGTGTATACACCACATGGCATTCCCTAATGATACTATAGTTTCTAAGTACTGGCAAAATCACTTAGAAAAACATGATACGCTCCGGGGACGAACATCTAAGGACAACATGAATCTGTTACTCTGCTGGCCAACATGACAGTCTCAGTGGACTTAAATACAGCTCTCCGGTATGCCATTGTCATAGAAACAAGAAAGGAAGATTAGCATGTTCCAGATTTGTCACAGACTTATCATAGTGGGTGCGAATGTGGTCCATATGTATGTGTACCTATATATATATATGTGTGTGTATATGTATACATATATACATATGTAGCTCATATATACATATTTACACATATACACATATATACTTACATATATATGTATATATATATGTGTGTGTGTGTGTATGTGTGTGTGTGTGCGTGTGTGTGGGTGTGTGTATGTGTGTGTGTGCGTGTGTGTGCGTGTGTGTGTGCGCGCGCGCGCGTGTCTGAGAGAGAGATAGAAAGAGAGAAAGAGTAAGAGAAAGAGAGAGAAAAAGAGAAAGAGTAAGAGTGGGAGAGAGAAAGAGAGAGAGAGAGAGAGAGAGAGAGAGAGAGAGAGAGAGAGAGACAGAGAGAGAAAGAAATTCACAGGATTATCTTACGTGCTTCATATACACACAATCAGGCATATTAAGACACACAAATTACTTTGAAAGTTTAGAAACTGACAGGAATCAATAA